GTTCTCGGCTGCAGAGGCCTTCCAGAATGGCCTCTGACTGCGAAATGCAGGCCAGAGCTCCATTCTCAGCTGCAGAATGAAGCTGCTCCTTCGACCACAGAAGAAGTGGGCCGGCGAGACAAGTGTTGATCCATAGGAGCCTGGTTGCAGTGGTAAGCTCCACCCCAGCTTGATTTTTAGGCATGCGCCTCACCCCAAAACTAGGGCTTATTTTTGGGGTAGGGCTTATATTAGGCCCACCCCAAAAATCAAGCTAGGGCTTATTTTCAGGGTAGGTCTTACTTTCAGGGAAACATGGTAGTTTCTCAAGAGTGATTATACACTGTAATACAGGTAGTCCTCAAGTTACAACAGTTCATTTAGTGGCCATTCAAGTTACAATGGCACTGAAAAAAGTGACCTATGACCATGCTTTTTTTGTTAAAAAAAAGGTATTGGAACTCACACACGTCATACAACCCCCCTTGCCTATCCTACAAGGTTTACCTTTGTAGTTGAAAAAAAAATCCTTCAATTTTTAATGTATCTAAAAGACTAGGATTTTGTTCAAGGTAAGTTAATACTATTAATGTTACCATGCAATATGTGGCTTTAAATTACAAGAAGGCATTTTATTAATCTTTTGGGACATTTACCATTGGCATACCCATTTAGTTTAATGAGTGGAAATGTCAGCTTTCTATGTGGAATAAAATTGGCCCAATAAAACAAAATTTGGTTACTTGTAAAAGATTGAATTATTTTTAAGAAGTTGTCAAACAAGGTGGAAAAATTTACATTTGGAGTTTAATATGGATATTGACTTGAAACAAATTAAAGTTGAAACTTTGTCAGTGAACAGATTACTTTTAAGTTAAACCCAATTTAATAAATAGATCTGATTAAACCTCATTCTGTAAGTCTACCTTTACATCTGACCAATACATAATTAATATATATTATTATTAATAATAATAATACATCCAAATCACAAGACATTGGCTTTATTCTTATTCTTCCCCTCTGCAGTTTGAATATAAAGTATAAAAGACTAAAAAGAGATTTTCGTAGACATCCCAGTCTTTGAACTACCCAAGGAACTGAAACAGCAAAGTTTTGCTGTCGGGCAAACTTCCACACCAGCCGCCATTCTTTCCTCTCGCTTTGCCTCTTTTTAACCTCAGACCCCACCATCTGTAAGGGAAGGCAAAAGCTCACTCACCCTCTCGTGAAAGATGGCCTCCATGTTTATGTGTCTCCTACCATCACCATCGGCTTCAACACCACATGGTCCGACCCAGCCAATCAAGCCACACTCTGGCTGTGGTGCTCCGGCACCTCATGGCTCCTCCTAGAGGAGGCAGACAGCGCCAGAGGGGACCCCGCTCGCACCGTACCACCAGCGGGGCATTTTCAAAAACAAACAAGGATAGGAAGGGAAACAATAGGAAAAGAACGCAACTCTGGAAAATCCATCAAAAAATGGTGTCGGAACTTCATTCTGGTGCATTCTATGACAAAAAAAGCCCTGCCTATGACCATTTTTCACAGTCATGATCACTGCAGCATCCCCATAATCATGTGATCAAAATTCAGATACTTGGCAATTGGTTCATATTTATGACCATTGCTATGTCCCAAGATTCATTGTTCACCTTTTATAACTTTCTGATAAGCAAAGCCAACAGGGAAACCAGATTCACTTAACAACTAAGTTACTAACTTATCAACTGAAGTGATTCACTTAACAACTATGGCAAGAAAAGGCATAAAATAGGGAAAAACTCACTTAACAAATGTCTCACTTAACAACAGAAATTTTGGGCTCCATTGTGGTCATAGGTTGAGGGCTTCCTGTAGTTTTTGAAGACCAAACTCAGATTCATAGAATAAAAGGCCTGGAGGATTCCTTAGAGAGCATCTAGCCCAACTTCCTACCTTTGCAGGAATTTGCTCTTAGAGTAAGTGAGTTAATAAGTTTGCTTATTCTCTGAGTCAGTCTTCTCCAATTGGGGTTATATCCAAATATGTGTTCTTCAGCTCCCCAAACTTCTTTTCTAACTTGGGAGGGGTGGGAGATCAAGGTTGTGAAAGGCTATTCAAGGACATTAAAAACATTTCCAATGGATGACAAAATGATCATAGCAACTTACCATGATTTTTCCTAGGATGTTTTTTTCCTAGAAAACCTATCCCACATCCCCTTTAAAACTATTTTCTAGTGCCCCTGACACTATCAACAAATAATAGCATAAATGCACTTACAGCCATTTAAGCTATCACAAGGCATAGAATCACAGAATTGTGTAGCCTAACCATACTGAGCCATCACACAGAGAGAGACAAATCCTTCCTCTCAACAATATTCTGAGAAGAGAAGCCATGATGTTTTCTCTTCAAAAGATACAAGGCAGGGAATCATGAGTTCAGAGATGGGGTAGCCTTCAGGTCCACTGGAAGACTGGAACTTCTTTATGACCCACAACCCACCCTTCTTTGGCCATTTCCTATACTTTCAATGTCTGTGAATGTTTTTTCCCCACGTGTATCGTAAAATAGTCAAATAGCCAATTTAATTCCAAGGAAAAATGGAATCTCACAAAAACCAAAAAAGCATAGGTCTATCACCCAAACCCTGTAGCGTGATACTAATATGTATGGGACTCACATGTAGCCTCTAGAACAAATGCGCCCTCTAGGTTATATCTCTCTCTGATTTTACTCCTTGACCTCCCAGATTGACTGAGGGATTTATGTGTAAACCACTGTTTAACCGCTGGAACTTCATCCGATCTGCACACCCAAGAGTTACAGGTTTCAGAGTCACAGTGCTTTCTCAGATCAACACTCTACCAACCCCTTTGAGCAGAACCAATTTCAGATGTAGTTGTCATTAAAAAAAACAAAAGCAAACCATTTCGTAGGAAGACATTGCTTCACATTTGTAAGTGGCAGTCACAAACAAGACTAGATCATATGTAAAAATTTGAAATTTATTATTACTTCAGGATAGTTTCAAATGTCAAACCTGAAAACATCTGTTAACTGGCTGAAAGGGTAAGCAAGGATAGGCAAAATGGTGTCTCCAGACACCAACATAACCAGACACCATTGGCTCCCTACCTTACCTCAGTTTTATGGAAACACTTATCTTCATTGGCATGTTCCAAATGTGAAATCAGTCCCAAATATTGCTTAGTATAAACAACTGTCACCATCCAAGAACTACTCAACTAACAACTGAATGGTGGCATCAGATTAAGTCTCGGTTCAGAAGTGCACTGAATGGCTATCCTCTTCATATGATATGGAAAAATAACCATAGGCCTCCGGCTGCTCTCCCAGTGTTAAAATATGAATACCATAGTTCTTGCTCCTCAGAGAACCCATAACTGGCTTTGGCTTTGAAGAAACAGATCACAACGGGCTGCTTCTGCCTGAACCACATAAAGAAGATCATATGAACTGTTCCTGAGAAATTTGTTTCAAGAAAGACATTGGATATATCCAATGCAATACATTTTGGGGGTGTTTAGGTAGGAGATTGATTACCAAGAATTCATAAAAACTAGGGATTCTGCCATACAAGTACTTACACTTTCTCCTACAAAATGCTATCATCAATCTTCCCAATTATGGGTACACCATGCAATCGTTGTGCCAATCAAGATACACTTAAAAAATAAATAATTATATAAATTATCGGCATCTTTTGAAACCAAAATCTCTCTGAGGGATTATAATATACTAGAAAAGGACATACAAGCAAAGACATACAAGCAACATAAAATCAGGTATGTTGTGGACAGACACACAAATGGAGGACTGCATATAAGAAAGGTAACTTGCATGAATACAAAAGATTAGATGATGGAACCCTGACGTTTCTGAGCACTTCTTAACACCTGAGTCATTAGGTACTTACACATTCAGTGTGCACAGGATGTACGGCAAACAGCAAAGCCGCTAGGAGGGAGGATTTGGGGACAAAGTTGAGCCTTCTTCCTTTATTGGTGTAGTGCAGCCCACCCAATAATATTGAGAAGACATCAACAATTAAGACAGAAATAATACAATGGAGTATTATATTGATGATATGAAAGCCCAATGGGTGGAAGCCTCCAGCTAAAAGGTAATTAATCCTATGCAAGGGAAGACAAAAAGAAAACAGTGAAGTTAAAAATAGGAATAAATGAAATTAGAATATGTTAAAATAATCCAAAAGTGTGCTTTAGGTGCAGAGATGGCAGTGCCTGTGTAACTTAGTATAGAGAGGAGATACTGAAGGAAGGTGACAAACAGGGATGCAAAAAGCAGGCATCTTATCACTTGGCCTACCAACTAGCACCCCGGTTTGTGAAGCATCAGAGAGTAGGAAACAAGTTCTTCTCAACCCAGAAATAGAAGATCCTTTTTAGAGTTTTTGTTCCTTTCTTCTTTTTCACATGCTTTCCACTTTTCTTTTCTTCTTCCCCAACCAGTGATTCAACCTGAGTTCCAGAACAGTTTCTGAACCACTGTACCAGGGCAACATTAAAATACTAGCAATCAAGAAGAATGGTTTTGAAGCCAACTGAATACATAAATGGTACACCATGTGTCCTGCATGCCAAAGCTCTCAAATTTAATCCTTGGCAACTCCAACTAGGAGTGGAAACCTTGCCCCCATCCAATATATAGCAATATGGCACTTTGAATGGAAATGCTGCTATAGTTATTTACTTATTTATATTTATAAATAAATAAGTAACCTTTCCTTGTTAGATGCTTATATTGGGACTTATCCCACTACCACCAATCCATGGGTTTACAAAGGAAGGCTGGAGATTACTCACTTCTTCCCCAAGAGGTTCTGAATATGTGGATGTGACAGCGACTGTACTATAGCGGACCATATATTCCAGTGAGAACTATAACACAATGGAGCCTTCCAGCCAAAAGAACAAGGCAAGCACCAATGAAACTACATGTTGTGTTAAAATGTTGCTAATATGGGTGTGGAAGCAAGCACAGTATACTTTCGGGGTTCTTAGGAATCTAGAAATGAGGCCCAAATTTTATTTATGAGATGTTTCTGACTGTAACAAGAGACGTTATTCTATACTAGAATGGTCATGGTTGAGGAACACAAAATTGTTTTCACAGATTATGTATCCAGATGGGAAAATCAATCTATATTTACAACACTAAATGACTTTTTATTTCACTAAATAGACAGCATCTCAATAAATTTTATCCCCATTAATGACCCTCCTCCCAAAAGAAAGCAAACTTAAGGTAGCCTGAAATGTCTCACCTGAAAGTCAATACAGTAAGCGGTCGGTAAGATTTGTGGCTTGTATTGCTACTGAGTTTACTCCCCCAAAAATCATGATGCCATAGATCACCAAGTGGGGTATCAGCCCTTAGATCCTGAAAGAACAATGGTTATGAGATCATCGTGTCAGAATCTGAGCTCTGAAGTAAATCAAAAGAATTGTTCAACTGGGATTGTGCCCAGTAATGTACCAGTATATAACCCTTTAGAAAGTTCAATCACAACTTTTGGGTTGGAACAACAAACTATGAAACTTATTCAATGACAAAAAAAGATTCTGCCAAGTGAGCAATTTCATTCTTATTTCAATAAAACTTTTGGATAAGGTGGGGTAAAACACATTAGCATATAACTGACAGGGAAATAAATAATGTGAAATAACTTTGTCAATTCCACACCACCAGGCAAGGAAGGCAAGAGCATTCCAACTTAAGAGAGCTGTACCTACCCATGCAGTAGATCTGAGTTTTGATGAAAACTCTCCTCAGCAAGAATCGTCTAACTGAGGATAATAAAAACTGAGGATCTCTGGTTGGTTAGTTAGTCTTATCTTGATTTTCCCTGGAACCTCCAGAAGATCAGGTTGGAGGTAGAGTTCGTCCCCTGGGATATGCTAAAGTCTATCCACCGACAGGTCAGAAAAGAATTTTTGGAGGTCACTACTTCGTGGATGTTGACGACATCAGTAACTACCAAAAAAGCTTGAGAAGATCCAAGCATTCATCTACTATTACTGGGGTGCTGTGAAACCAACAAGAAGGAACATTACTGAGTAGCCGAGATGATATGTGAAAAAGGTAAGGATTCATTATGGCCAACATATTGCCTTTTTGATACACCCCTTTGCTTTCCAACAGATACCCCACAGCAGGAAGGCTAAGAATTATGTTAGATTTCATTTAATAATAATTTCTATAAAATAAAATCTTTGTGAGTATTCCCTGTGTATTTAATTATTTTCTTCTTCTGTACTGTTAAAAATGATAATTACCTGCCATCTCTTGAAGACATTCTGAGTTTACAAGGTATGCCTGTAATATTTATAATTAGCAATTGGGAGAAAGATGAAATAAATCGATTTGTTGGGATCCATGTGCTATATTTGAAAGCCTTAAAAAGTCTTAATAATTGTACAGCTTGATCCTAGCCATATTTATTCAGAAGCAAATCATAATTTAATCAGTGCATTTCATTGAGAGGTGAAGCACACAGAGCTGTAATTTCTAGGATTTCTCCCCCATATTAAATACTTCAGAGATAGCAGGAACATATTAATATATTTGTTCTGCGTTAATAGAAACTTTAGCAAAAAGCAGCAGGCAGTCTCATTACATCCATAAAGCAGAATGCAAACAATAAGAAATTATTCATGCATGCTCCCCTAAGTATTACAACACCCAGGAATAATTTATTCTACAGTTTATAACCATGGGCTTTTTCTTCATCTTAATAAATATGAAAATAAGACAAAGCAAACCAAAAGCTCAGAAAACAGACTGAAATGAAATTCTGGCATCAGTGGCGTTTGCACTGAACCTCCTGTTACTTTAAATAGGGGAAGGATTTTATTTGGACAAATAAGACAATGACCACTTCTGTAAAAATGCCTGTCTCGTTAAATATATATATATAAGTGGAAGTCAATCAGCAAACACTCTGTCATTAGATTTCAGTTTTAGTTAATGAGTGTCTACATCATATTCAATCTTTCTGAGTGTTGATTTGACAGGAAGCTAACTAACAAGTCTTATAATGCTTTAGAGATTAAAAATATCCATTGGCATATCCACTTTCAAGATCCAAAGTTTACTTCAACATATGGATTCTTTACAGGGTTTCTTAAGCTTGACAACTTTAAGATGTCTAGACTTCAACTCCCAGAATTTCCCAGCCAACTATGCTTCTTTTCAGTATGTGTGTCAGATCTGCCATCAAACTGCTTCAGCCCTGTTTTGCTTAGCTTTGATTGCAGTCTGTCATAAAATGTGGGGAGGGAGAATGGTAAGATAGGGAGGGGGGAATGACAGGAACCAGAGGTGCCATCCAGAGACAACAATGGCGAGATCCAAAGACCCAAGCCTGGGAATGGAATGCGAAATGTCCATCCAAAGAAATGCCAAAATGTGGAACTGTTACCAAAACACCTAATTTGAACGTTATTGGACACCATCATGATGACCAAGGGGGAGGGTCTAGGAGAAGGGAAAATTACTGGGGTTGTGCAGGAAATCCTAAGATCTGGCTTTGCTACACTGTAACTACTTGGCTTCAATAAAAAAATATCTTTCACTACAAATGGAGTTGAGGGTCTTTCTTTCCTGAATATCAAAGCTGGGACAGGTCTGATAATGCATAAAACAGCAGTACTATCCCTTAGATCAGGGGTGTCAAATTGCCGGCCCGCGGGCCGGATACATCATAGCGACACCGCGCCTACCCCATTGCCGGCAATGGCAAAAAGTCGCGATACGTCGCGACACATCGCGACACGTCACATGACGTTGCGAGTTTGACACCCCTGCCTTAGATGGACACTAGGTGCTGGTAGCAAGAGTTTACTATAGAGCACAGAATTTCAGACATGGATGTTTTGCAATGTTTGGCAATGGGTGAGAAGAGGATTTGTCAATTGGGGGGGGGGAGAGGAGACCTAAAAATATGGTATTTTATAGCACATGGAGCTATCCGCACCATTCTTCTATAAGAAAGCACAGAGCACAATCCTGAGGTACGCAATACAAATAGTTCCTGACTTACAATGGTTCATTTAGGGACCATTCAAAGTTACAATACTGGAAAAAATGACTTATGACATTTTTCACACTTACGACCACTGCAGCATCCCCATGGTCACGTGATTGAAATTTGGACACTTGGCAACTGGTTTATATTTATGATGGTTGCAATGTCCCGGGGTCATGTAATCACATTTTGCGACCTTCAGAGAAGCAATTCAATGGGGCAGCCAAAGTCACTTAACAACTGTGTTCCCAACTTAACAACTGCAGTGATTCACTTAGCTGTGGCAAGAAAGTTCGTAAAATGGAGCAAAACTCACTTAACAAATGTTTCACTTAGCAACACAAATTTTGGGCTCAATTGTGCCCGTAAGTCAAGGGCTACTTGTACTTTTTTGTTTGCTGGCTGAGAGAAATGTGCCACACACTTAGACACGGACTGTGTTCTTAATATATTTGTTGAATCTTGGAAATGATCTAGGGCAGGGGTAGTCAACCTTGGCTCTTTTATGACTCGTGGACTTCAACTCCCAGAATTCCTGAGCCAGCTGTGCTGGCTCAGGAATTCTGGGAGTTGAAGTCCACGAGTCATAAAAGAGCCAAGGTTGACTACCCCTGATCTAGGGAGACAATAATGGAATCTGCACAAATAATGACGAACAATTGATTAGTTAGGTGTTCTTTCTCTCGCAACTCTTCCTCTAATGCATATACTTTTTAAAGTATTTTAAAGATAAGGTTGAACAGGCTAAAGTTAAATCGTTAATAAATAAAACCATTTGACATCAGCCAACAATTTCAGAATATTCATAATAGAAGTTCATTTTCAGTTGTTCCTCTCTGTCTAGCATGTATGATGCCAAACCTCATATTATAGGGCTTAGACTGGTTGCTGGAATTTCTCAAACAACCTACAAAGTTGTCACTTTGTCAAAGCTTGTGCATCCCAAAGCATGTAAGAATACCAATTTTTATTGTGCCAATAAAAATGACATCAATCTTGCAGCTGATTTACTGCAGCAAAGCTTTATCCAATCTAACAACCAAGGAGTTGGTGTCAAGGGGTCAGGTCTTATGGATTTCCTGTCAGGAGTCCTATCCATAGAGGATTCTGATGCCAGGTAACTGAGTGGAGCCAAGTCTGCTGAAATAACTATTCCTAGTGTCTTTCGTCTTCTTCAGTGTATTCTTATTTTAAACATTATCATTTCAGTACTCTAGACATTTGATGCCAACCAGTTTCTTACTGAAACCTTGAATGGCCCCCAATGTGATAAAATGTTGGCCTTTCCAGAGTATTAATGGTAGGAAGAAGGGCCAATGGTACAAGATGTCCTCTTCCCTCTTCATACATAGATACCCTCAAACAGAGTAACACTATTTCTAGCCATTGTAATACTGTAATTAATAACTCAAGCATTGTTTGTTGCTGGAGCATCAGAAAAATTTATCGGTGGAAATCTGAATTATAGTCCAATTCATTTTATGATGGCAGGTGGTGGAATGCTACACTGATTAGGGCCCCTCTATCTAAAAAAAAAGACTTCTACCTTTTACATCTTTACTACATTCTTCTTATTAATATAGCAAAAAAAATCCAAGTAGTTTTGTCTGACAGATGCTGGGCAAATTCTTCCACTGGTTGAGTACTAGCGATACTCTAGAGTCTAGACATCTCTTTTCCTGTCAATTCCTTTGTAAACCAGAGGGAGCGGTGGGATCTCCGAGAAGAGAGAGGTTGCATGGGTCTGATCTGATCCAAAGTCTCAGCTGCTCCCTTATTCAAGTGACAATCAAGTCTTCAGATAGATCATGTAGCAGATCAACAGGAACAGCCCCCAGCTCCCTCTAAAGGTCATCCAGGTTGATTAGTTTCAGGAACAAACCAATCTAATGGGTACAGCCTTCCTGCAGTGGATGGTGGCACTAGAGAATCCCATGGAAATCAGGGGGTGATCTGACTATAACAAGGGAGACACTAAGAATTTGCCCATTTCATATCACGTAGCCACTGATCAGGAACACCTGATCCAGTATCACCACTGTCCCATGTCAGGCTCTGAATGACCTAGGATAGACCCATGGTCATCATGTTGGCCATGAATTCCAGAGCCAGCTCAGACCTCACTCCAAGAGAAGGCAGATTGAGATCCTCCAGAACTATACGTCTGTGGAACTCAACTGCCAACTCAGAAATGGAGTCAAGGAGTTCAGGTACGGAGGTTGCAGTGCAAAAGGGAGGCTGGTACAACACTCCAAACTGATCCCTAGAGCCCAACCTGGTGCAAGGGTGTGAAGGAGTTACTGGATGACAATCACCACATCCACACGGGACTAGGTCTCAGAGTCAACTACGGTATAGGGTTTGCAATGACCCGTATAAAGACTTTTTCGATTGGAAGGGTAAGGACCTGGTTCAGTCCAGAGCCATTATGTATGGTCCAGACGGGAGAGTAGTTACTAATTTAACGACTACTTCCTTCGGAATAATGTCTGGCTGGACCGTGAGTCATCGTCACCCGTCCCGGTCTGAAAGTGTGTCTATGACAATTCGCCACAGCCAACTTGCCACGACCAACTTACCATGGCCAAGTCATCACAGCCAATTTGCCATCGCCAACTCATTGTGGGACAACTTGCCATGGCTAATTCACCATGGCACAATTCACTGCAGGACAAGAGTTATACTAATATCAAAGAAATGGTGGCATAGATCATTAAAGAAAGGATGAAAAGGAGGGACAGAATGAAATGTGAATGGCAAAAATTAAAATATCGTTTAATTTATTTTAAATAATTGAATTGAATTGTTAAATTGTCCCGCAGTGAGTTGGCCACGGTGAGTTGGTTGTGGAAGTTGGTTGTGGTGAGTTGACTGCAGTGAGTTGGCTGCCACGAGTTGTCGCATTCTGCTGAAGGTCTACAGACAGTATACCAGAATAGAGTTCAAGGAGGGGACTGCAAAACTAGTATAAGACAATGGTTCCACATTCTCCGAGAGTGGCTTGCTACCTGTCTCCCACCACCCCTCCCCATGCACATCACTACCAGGATCCCCAAAATCAAGTCCACCAAGACCAGGGACCAGGAACTTCCCATTTTCCTCACCAGACATCCTTGGGAGGGGAACTGGGCACCCGAAGGTACTATAATTTCACCAGTAATCAGCACCATCAAGGTACCCAGCCCCCATTTCCCTATACACTATCTCACACTCATACACATTACCACATATTCATACAGATCAACACTCCCAGAAGGAGGAATTGGCCTATTCACAATAGGACTCCACAAACAGGTACAGCTTCCTACTTCCTTCTTTCTAAGGGCTACCCACAGGGTAGGCAAGTTGACCTCTGGGGGAAAGGGGGCCCATAGAAGCTTGCACCTTATTATAGCCCTCACCTGCCCAGCTACCACTCAAATCCCTGAGCCACAATGGCCAACAAAAGCACAGATATACAGGAAGGAACCAAGAAATGGGGAAGGACTCCATCAGCACAGCCTCAATGGAAGCCCCAGCAGTAGCAAAAAAGTGTCCAACAGCAGCACCCACCAAAAGCTGCTCCCCCAAAAGCATCCAGCAGCAGCGCACTCCTCTGAAAATACGAAACAGACTAGGAGCTGGAGCCCAATTAAAAAGAACTGCTGCCAGGTCCAGAATGCAACACCAAACATGGCTTGCAAAATGTGCCCGTAGAAACACCATAAAGTGGGGAGTGCAATAAAGCAGTAAGCAGGGCCATCCTCCAGAATGCACTGCTCTAGTCCAATCCAACCTGCTTCCAACTTGCAGTATGAACAGTCCACTCCCTCCAAGAAAGTACTTTAATAAAACAATCAATGCACAAGCATCTATAAACACACATGAGGACAGGCCAATTGCTCCCTCTCTTGCCGCCATCTTAAACTGAAAACTGGTCACATCTGGGTCCTGACTACGAAGTTCAATCCATCTTAACATTATTTTGAACAGGTCTGGGTTCTGCTACGCCAAAAACCCCCACTACTTCCATCTGCAACAACAGCTGGCTACCAGTTCAGCCACATGTGGCTTCAGCTTTCCTGGAATTTGTGGCGCCTTGCTTCCTTGTGACGTGAGGTGATAGAAATGCTTAGAGTGACGATGGAAATTGGCATACGGATAACTGTGGAGCAGGAGATCTGACAGCCACATCACCTTGGCATTCAATCTCGGCTGACAATTTTCATATTGATCAGAACACTTAGAACATATGCTTTAGAAGCAGTTGTGTGAATCTGACTTAACAAAAAACAAACAAGTCACAGGAGGCCAAGAATCCTGGGAACGCATTCGTCTAAAACTGTGCTCTTATTATAGGGAGTCTATCATGAAAAAAAAAATCCTGTTTTCCTTTCAGCTTGACTTAGCACACATTCATTAGACAAATTATGTGCATATGATTCTGTTGGATCAGAATCTCCACACTTGATTTTCAACAGCAGTCTTTGCGTTGCAGACTGCAACATTTGGCAAAAGACACATTGTTCTAATTAACACATGTTCAGAGAGAGGCACTCTGCCTCAAATGCTTTATTTGATCAAATGTTTGCCTTTCTACACGCAGAAAAGATAAATCATTGCTCCATGTTTTAAAACAAGACAAAACAGAGAGATGTGTATATGAGTCAGAAAGCCTCTGGAAGACTGTTTGAACTCCATGAAATTCAGTGACAGCTTGCATTACAATGCAGAGATTGCCCTGCGGGGATAAACATTGGCTGCTGTAAAAAATAAAGAACAAGGGCTAATTGCTGGTGGAGAAATCAAAATGGCTGAGAAAACTTTCAGAGTCCAAGAAGGTGAGGTGCTGTTTCTGGGCTCCTCAAGGAAAGGAAGCTATACAGGTGGTCCTTGTTTAATGATCACAAACAAATTCAATGAAGAAGCCAGTAGGAAGTAGGAAATTGGAAGTTGTGGTCACGTGAGGTCGTCATTCAATGTCCTGTGCAGTCCTTGATTAACAATGGTAACTGGGACTGCTGGGACTGCTGTCACTAATAGCATGGACATGTGGTGTTTTTTTTAATATACAACCATGCCCATTAACAACAGCTTTCCAGTCCCAATTAATGGAGTTTAATCAAATATCTTTATTACAGTCATACCTGTAGCTACATGTACCTCATCAAACTGAACAAGATTTTTTCTTAAGCTCTTAAGCCCTGAAGTGATTTAAAAAGGATATATTGGTTAAATGAAACCAGTGGTAGATCCAAATTTTGGAGATGGGGGGAGGGAATTGGTGGTCAGAGAAGGAAGTTAGAGGTGGACAAATTTCACTCAGACAGACCTCTTTTCAGAACACTTGGATGGGTGAATCAAATAATCCCTTCAAAAATATTTGGCATCACAGCCAAAGGACTCCCTCCCTGAAAGTAGTTCTACCCAAAACTAACCATGACTGCTTTTCCAATCTCCCCTTAGGGCACATTAGAGAAGAAGGAAGTTTGTTGATTTACACTTAAAACTGCCTGCATATTCTAAGATGCAGACAAACAAGTTATTTCTGGACAAGTGGCTGTCCAGTCTCTTCTTAAATGCCTCCAGTGATGAAGCAACCACAACTTCTGATGGCAAGCTGTTTCACTGGTTAATTGTTCTCACTGTTATGAAGTTTCTCCTTAATTCCAGGTTGTTTCTCTCTTTGATTAGTTTCCATCCATTGTTTCTTGTCCCATCCTCTGGTACATTCGAAGAAAAAATGGCCTCTATGACTTTGAAGCTCAATTTTGAAGCTCCAATGTATACAGAAAGCAGACAAGGTTTTGATCATGTGGCCATGATCATTATCTTGGCTTTTGTCTCCTACCCCAAAGATGACCAGGGTAGCAGCTGTAAAGCAGTGAGCCCAGGAATTGACAGTGGATAACTCGCAAAAACATGTATTTCAGAATGTGCCCACCCTTAAATTAATTCCTGAAATAAATTATTTAAACCATTTCTTTTCTCCTTCTTTATGAAAAGGCAATGCATACTTGTATTTTTTCTCTCTTAGCTACTTCAGGTGCCCTTTGGTCACATGATAGTGATTTGCATTTTTGCTGAAAATGTAATTTCCAGCAAAAAACAACCACTGTGAAAATAGTTCCCTTAATAACCACAGCATTCACTTTACAATTGGTGTTCGCTTTATGACCATCGCAAAAGTTTGTAAAACTGGGTTGATTACATGATGACCCATTTTACAACTGCTAACACTTATGACTACAATTGCCAGGTTCCATTATGGTCATAAGTCGAGGATTACCTGTACACTAAAAATACACTTTCACCATTATGGAATAATCAGGGATACAAAGACAGTACCACTCCTGATCTTATGTATATATTATCCTTATGTCATGCACATCTTTCCATCATTTGTAAAATGATTGCAGACCTACAAATTAGGTTTCAGGTGAATGATGTAATTTATACAAATTGATACACACCAGGAAATCAGAAAAAGAAATATAATGTACATAAAACCTATTATAAAACCCGAATCTCAATGTGTTTAACAAAGTATATTTGCACCACAGTTCTTTTTCATCTGAATGACTGAATGCAAAAATAACTCTACTTTGCAGCAGCTGTGATGTTGAAAGTAGAGCACAAATACAATAATTGGCCACGTTTGTCTTCAAGTACTATTTTATAACTTCTAATGCAATATAAAAATACAGTTTTAACTTATTTAAGGCATTTTCTTTTGTATTTTTTCAAATGTATACTCTAAATAAGTTATATTAAATTCAAGTGTGCTTTTTAATTAATCAGAGATGTATTCTAAATCTGTTTTCATCTGATTAATGTAACCAATTATTGGAAGCACACGTAAAACTGTAGTCCTTTTAAATTCTATTTACAACAATACATCACTAACCTTATTGTTGATTATAGCTTCAGAGTCATCAAAGACAAAATCTCCATCATAGCTGTTCACAAAGCAGATAATGGAAAAAAGTCCCACAATGGTTTTGGCCCAATATGGTGGAAGGGTCAAGAGTGGTATATCATGGTCCAGGTTAACCTCTCCCTGCGCCATTCTGCACACTTCTGGTTAAGAATGTGGAGTACCAACATTATGCTGGTTGTGAATCTAAAAGACATACAACATAAATGCGTAAAGAACCAACTCAACCCTGAGATACAAACATTCTCTTCTATCTGAAGCAAATCAACTTTAAAAATTCTTTTACATCTATTTACTAAAACGTACAAATATTTGGTAGTCTACTTGCTAACACACATAGATGGTACATCATTTGTGACATATTGGTAGTTGGGAAGATGGGGGCAATATGAAGAGAAAACAAAATAAAAACTCCTTTTCAACTGTATATAAATATGTAGTTTAAATGGCTTTAATACTCACTAAAGTTGTAATAAACAATAGCCTGATTAAATTATTGTAAACATTTTTTTGTAAATGACTCTTTGGCAAATGTCTGCATCCAATATTTAAAGATTTTGGAACCCAAACCCTATTTTCTATGAATCTAATTATTATTATTTTTTTCGAAAATGTAGATGACTGCCTATCTTAAACACAGGTAGTCCTTGACTTACCACAAATGAGCCCATTACAAGCCCATTACAAGCCCAAGAGGGGTTTGTAATGAATGCTGGCTGCAAAATACATTTTAAAATCGTCTTTCTTTTACTTTCTCTCTTACTCTGAGGCCCATCATCTCAAGGAAACCAAAAAAAGTTAACAACCACAACCTCTTTGTTTACTGAATCTAGATAATCTTTTCAAAACTTAAAATACTGGAACGCAGATCTCAAGGGGTCTCCAATTTCACTTCACTGATCAGGTCTGTGGCCCTATATTACTAGAAATGTTTTTTAAGCAAAACATTGCAATTCCTGTGCTAAATAACAAGCTTTCTTAATGATATTTTAAACTTGGGAGAACAAAGAATGGGGAAAAAATAAAGAAAACACCAATTAAGAATTGACCAACAGATGATACCAGCCTCCCAAGCAAAGACCTTTCTGGAAATGGGAACTAAATTGATTTGTGGTGGACATTAATTTGTTGAGTCTACAATCCAGCCATGGTTACTATAGCAATAGCCCCTATATTGATTTCTACAAAAATACATAAAGTGGTATACTACGGCTAATTATCTTCTTGTTTTTTATGCTATGGTTGCCATTCCCTTCTGTTTTAAAGCCAACCTTTGGGACAAAAGCAATTTAGTATTGAGAAAAGGTAATTAGGAGATTAATAACAATTTTCAGCATAGCTATAATGGAGGTTCCCAAACAGAAGAGCAGAATGCCATCTTTTTCTAGGCAAAGAACATCCTTTGGGAACTAAGTTCTGAAATTCTACAGAATGAATCCCTCCCTCAATCTCACATTTTTTACACCCACTGTAAATTTTTTCAAATGAGATGTGTTATTATGCCCAAGGATGTGTGTGTTTGTTCTGCATTCAGAACACACACACACACACGCACACACACACACATCCTATGCAGTCTCCTCAACAGAAAGACTTAGGGAATTCTATGTCACCTGTGCGTGCCTATTTAGAAATATGTCCCATGCAGTTCAATGGGATGACATGCAAGCAAAGCATCCCACACAGCACGCTGACCTTGTCAGGAGCTATTTGCAAGGCACCGGCATACATGACACTTTCTGATGTGTGACCGAAAACTCATCACAAAAAATTTCTTTTAAACTTCTGCACCCCCCACCCCCCACCCTCCAAGATGGGAAGGCGGAGGAGGGTCTTTTCTACACATTTTGCCAGCCGGAAATTTCCATTGTGGCCGGCTACTGAGTCCGTTCCTAAGCTGGACTGACCAGGAAACCTTAACGCGGGTTCTTTCGGCCAGCGAACCGCCGGGTCCTTTAAGCCGCGGTTCCGAGTTGGCACCTTACAAAGACCCGCCGCGGAAACCACCCATTGCTGTCCGGCAGCTAAAAAGGCCGAGGGGAGTCAGCTCGCACAGGCGAGCCAGGCTTCCTCGGATGGGAGCGCCGCGAAGTTTGCGCGGGGGCTTCTTCCCGGAGCGCGCAAGGGATGCTCCCGCCGAGTCCGACCGGGCGGCGAAGCAGGTCCCCGGGAGAGATCGCAGCAGAGATCGCGGGCGGCGGCAGCAGAGCGGCTAGGGCAGGAAAGAGGGGCGATCGAGCGGGCGGACAGGCGGGAAAATGCATGAAAAAGTGACGAGGAGGGCCGGACCCCTTCCTGCCCGCCACGAGAGATTTTGCCCCCCTCCCCGCTTTTGCGGTGTGCCTCCGGCGCTTCCTTTTGTCCTGAGCGGTGCCGTGGCGGAGGGAGCCGCGGAAGAGCCTCCCCGCCGCATGCAGCTCTCCAGGGGAGCCCGGCAGCGCCTTCCCTACGCAGGGACCCTGGATCCGCCAGCCCTGCTCGTCCCGCGGCCCCGCCAGCCCCCGCCTCGCCCCAGACAGGCGTTACCTGCAGCTGGAAGGAGCTCGAGCGGCATCGCCCACCCGCGCGGGGAACTCTGCCCTCTCCGCAGACGGAGCCGGGGATGGGCGGGCCGGGTCGGGTCGACCGAGGGAGGAGCCGCCTTCGCCTCCTCGCTCCCGGAAGGCAGGCGCCTGGCGGATTGGCTCGCCCCCTTCCCCGCCCCTCCAAAGGACCCGCCCCCGCTCATTGACGGGCGGAGTGACGTCTGCGGACCGGAGTAGTTGGACCGGGAAGAGGCCGGGAGTGGTAGTGGGGTGGGCGGGGGGGAGGATCGAGCCGCGTGGATTTTTTTTGGGGGGTGGGGGTTATGCAACCGCGCTATCGTGGAGGATTTAGCTGGGAATGGGAAGTGCAGCGCGATCCTAAGTGGATGCATGTCCCTTGTTAGCTGGGTGGAATTATTCTTCCGTGGAAAAGCCTGCTATGTTCCTGACCAGGCGGACAGGCAGGCCTGGGGATGGAGGGTGGGGGGTGGGGGGAGGCAAGACCTACTTAGCTACCGTACTACTACAGGTAGTCGTGGACTTATGACCATAATGGAGCCCAAAATTTCTGTTGCTAAGTGAGAAATTTGTTAAGGGAGGTTTGCCCCCTTTTGCGACTTTTCTTGCCACATTTGTTAAACTAATCACTGCAGTTGTTAAATTAGTAACATGGTTGTTAAGTAAATGTGAGTCAGTTGTCAAGCATCCAAATGTAAATCAGGTGATGCTGCAACGGTCATAAGTGTGAAAAATGTTCATAAGTCACTTTTTTCAGTGACATAACTTCAAATGGTCACTAAGCAAACTGTTGTAAGTCGAGGAGTAGCTGTATTCTGTCTTGTGCGAGGATATTGCATGAAAACATATCAAAAGGCTGACTGTAACGCCCCTTGTTTTTCTCTATAAGCATTCTGTACAGTTCTTGGTAGCATTTGCATTACATTCCTTACAAATTCTCCATTTATTCCCCTTATATGCCATCATATAGAGGTCACTATTTTCATTCCCACTTTTAGTGAGCAGGTGATAATATCATTTTTTCTGGTATATTATCATCTTTCTGAGTTCTATTGAGATAACACTTGTTTTGGACTTTTGAACAGATAGTCCTTGCTTAACGATGGGTTGCTTAGCAAATTTTTAAAGTTCCAATGGACCTGAAAAAAGGTACTTATGACCCAGATTTAAAGTTCTGACACCTGGGGGCACCTTGTGGTCAGATGACTCCATTTTGGGGACTCAGCAACTGCCCTGCATTTTTGGCTATTTAACAGAATAACAGAATTGGAGGGGAGCTGGAGGTCTTCTAGTCCAACCCCCTGTTCAAGCAGGAGACCCTATACCGTTCCAGACAAGTGGCTGTACAGTCTCTTCTTAAAAGTCTCGAGTGATGGAGCACCCACAACTTCTGAAGGCAAGCCGTTCCACTGGTTAATTGTTGTCACTTAGGATGTTTCTTACTAATTCCAGGTTGCTTCTCTCCTTGATTAGTTTCCATCCGTTGTTTCTTGTCTTGCCTTCTGGTGCTTTGGCAAATAGGTTGACCCCTTCTTCTTTTTGGCAGCCCCTCAAATACTGGAGCACTGCTATCATATTTCAGTTCAAATTTAGACCCCCAAAATATCCTCTGATATTGTACCAAACCAAACAGTTATTCAGAAGTTTTGCATCAAGATCAAATTTCCTTTTTGAAGATTCTTCGTGTCATGAACAATTGTTGGTAAGGAGTTGTAAAGACAATCCTACCACTGCCAAGAAAACCCTAAAGAAGTTGTCAACTTTAGTGGTCTAAAGTGTCCATCAAAGCCTTCTGTTTCATACTTTATAGCTATGTCTGGAATATGCTTTCTCTCCTACATTTTCATGGCTACCTTGTGTAAAAAGTCCCGAAACCTTGACACACTAGCAAATGTTGATATTCCTGGTGGAAGCAAGTTTTTTTTTAATTTAAGTCAGTGAAGAGGATAGAGCTTTATACTAATAAACTGAGCTGAAGAAAACCATGGTAAGATTTGAACTCTTTTGTGACTTCCGGCACTACAAGGATTTGTTTTCCCTCTCTCTTTTCCAGTTGTATCCCCCAGCTTGATATGTTGATTCCTAGCATTTATTATCTCAGAGCTACAGTGAAAATTCTCTTACTATCTTACTATCTTACTATAAAGTCCTTGAAAGAGTATTTAGAAATTAGGGATTGAAATGAACTAGTCTTAATGGAGCTCCAACTTTGTAGTAACATATCAATGAGTCTGTGTGTGGAAAAGTATTCCAGTGTTATACAGGTAATCTTTGACTTATGACCACAATGGAGCCCAAAGGTTCCATTATTAAGCAAGACAGTTAAGTGAGTTGTGACCCATTTTATGACCTTTTTTGTCACAGTTGCTAAATGAATCACTGCAGTTAAGTGAATCATGTGGTTGTTAAGTGAATCTGGCTTCCCCCATTGATTTTACTTATTAGAAGCCAGCTGGCATGACACCGGTACAGTGCAAATGTCATAAATACATGCAAGTTGTCATGTGCCTGAATTTTGAACACGACTATGGGGATGCTGCAACAGTCCTGTGAAAAGCGGTCATAAGTAACTTTTTCAGTGACTGCTGGCTCATATTTAAGTGATTGTCCACTCCAATATCCCTTTCGC